GGAACCAGGCAAGGTTGCCCATTGTCTCTACCCCTTTTTAACATCGTAATGGAAGTCTAAGCCATTGCAATCAGGCAAGAGAAGGCAATCAAGGGTATCTATATAGGGTCAGAGGAGATCAAACTTTCACTCTTCACAGATACGATTAGAAATAATATTTTCACTGGAAAACCCCAGGACTCAACCACGAAACTCTTAGAAGTGATCAAGGAATACACACCGTCTCAGGCTACAAAATCCATACTCACAAATTAGTAACATTCATATATACCAACAATAAACAAGGTGAAAAAACAGTCATGGACTCTATTCTCTTTACAGTAGTGCCAAAGAAAATAAAATATCTGGGAGTGTACCTAACAAAGGATGTGAAAGATCTCTATAAAGAGAACTATGAAACTGAGAAAAGAAATAGCTGAAGATGTCAACAAATGGAAAAACATACCATGCTCATGGCTGGGAAGAATCAACATTGTTAAGATGTCCATACTACCCAAAGCAATCTACAGATTTAATGCAATCCCTGTTAAAGTACCTCTGTCATACTTCAAAGATCTGGAAAAACTAGTTCTTCATTTTATATGGAAACAGAAAAAACCTTGAATAGCCAAGACACTACTCAGTAATAAAAATGAATCAGGTGGAATCATGCTACCAGACTTTAGACTATACTATAAATCTATAGTGATCAAAACAGCATAGTATTGGCATAAAAACAGAGAGGTAGATGTATGCAACAGAATTGAGAACCAAGAGATGAATCCAGGCACTTATCGTCATTTGATCTTTGATAAATCTATCAAAAATTAAATTGGGGGAATGACTCCCTATTTAACAAATGGTGCTGGGTCAATTGGCTGGCAACTTGTAGAAGATTGAAACTGGACCCACACCTTTCTCCTCTGACAAAAACTGACTCTCACTTAATAAAAGACTTAAACCTAAGACATGAAACCATAAGGATTCTTGGCCTAAGTGCAGGGAAAACACTTGAAGAAATTTACCTGGGAGAAAACTTCATGAGGAGGACCCCCCAGGGCAACTGAAGCAATACCAAAAATACATTACTGGGATCTGATCAAACTAAAAAGGTTTTGTACTGCCAAGAACACAGTAAGTAAAGCAAGTGAACTGCCCTCAGAATGGGAGAGGATATTTGCAGGTTACATTTCCAACAAAGGTCTGATAACCAGAATTCACAGAGAACTCAAAGTTATCAGTAAGAAAAGAACAAGTGATCCAATTTCACTGTGAGCAAGAGACCTGAACAGAAGCTTCTCTAAAGAAGACAGGCACATGGTCTACAGACACATGAAAAAATGCTCATCATCTTTAATCATCAGAGAAATGCAAATCAAAACCACTTTGAGATACCATCTAACTCCAGTAAGAGTAGCCCACATAACAAAATCCCAAAATTACAGATGCTGGCATAGATGTGGAGAAAAGAGAACACTTCTGCACTGCTGGTGGGAATGCAAGCTAGTATGTTCCTTTTGGAAAGAAGTTTGGAGAACACTCAGGGATTTAAAAATTGACCTGCCACTGGATCCTACAATTCCTCTACTAGATATATATACAAAAGACCAAAAACAACTTGCAAAAAAAGATATTTGCACAGATTATTCACTGCAGCTCAATTTGTAATAGCCAAGTCATGGAAGAAGCCCAAGTGCCTATCGATCCATGAATGGATTAATAAATTATGGTATATGTATACCATGGAATACTATGTAGCCTTAAAAAAGACTAAGACTTTACCTTTTTATGTTTACATGGAGGGGCCTGGAATATATCCTCCTGAGTAAAATATCTCAAGAAAGGAGGAAAAAGTATCCAATGTACTCAGTACTTCTGAGAAACCTACTTGTATTTATTCACACTTTCTTATGAAAGATAGAGCACAACTATAGCCCAGGATGAAGGAGAGAAATGGAGTGGGAATAGAGGAGTCGGGGTAGGTTTGACAGAGGGAGGGTAAACGATGGGCCCACACCTATGGAGCATACTGCAAGGGTATAAGTCAAATCTGTCAAGTGTAGAACATAAATGTCGTACCACAATAATCAAGTAAACGAGGCAAAATCTACGTTGATGGTTTGATGTAAGCACATTGGATTGTATAAAAAAATCAACACATTGTACCCCACATATGCATAAATGTATTCATGATCTATGTGTATATGACTTAATAAAAAAATATCTTTTAGGAACAAGGATGAGATAAAGACATTTCCAGATGAAGGAAAACTAAGAGGTTTTGCCAGCAGACATGCTCTAAAAACTAGAACTCTAAAACAATGATCAACACTTAAGATTTACCAGGAGTAAAGATTGTTCTAAGTGTTTTCCATGGATTAATTCATTTGATCCAAGAAATTTTCTACTATTAACTATTACTATAACTTCATTATACAGATGATAAAATGAAAACCAAAAAGATATTCAGTAGCTAGTAAGTGAGGGAGCTATTGTAGAACCTAAGCAGTATGGCTTCATTACTCACAGTATCTCCCTACTTGTACAAAAAAGCAGAAGAATATTATATTCCCCACACAAATGAAGCCATTTGAAATAGAAATAATGATTTAAAAACTATTTGTATGTGATGCTGATCTCTAGAGATAAACATAGGAAGATAAGGCACCAATTCAACACATGACTTTACCTGAAACAAAATGCTATTAGAACTACAATAAACTTTTTTAGTACTTACTATGTGGCAGAAGTTGTTTTGTATTGTAACAATTTTATATAAAATAATGAATAAGATAATGCTCCTGTCCTTAATGACTTTCTACAAATTAGGTAACACAGACAAGTAAATAATTAATCACAATAGAGAATGACAAGTTCTTTCACAGGAGCATGTACAAAGCCTAAAGTGCATACAAAATACAAAGGCTTTAGAAGGAAAGCACCAATATACTCATGGATGATACAAAAACGATAATTTAAAAAGGCTTGGAGAAGCACCAAAAAAATGAACACTCAGAAAATTATTTCACAGTTACCTTTACCACAACTAATGTAGACTCACATCTCTGTTCCAAAATCTGTAAACACACTCTTAGCTAAATCAGCAGTGCACAGAAAGGAAAGCCAGAAGAAGGTGCTCCCATGCTGTGTATATGTATTAATTTTCAAAGCTTTCAGTATAAAAATGAGGGACTTATTCCTTTATTCTTACTACTTCAAAGTAATTAGAAGCAGCTCCTGTTAATTAAGTTTCCACTCACCGAGCAGTCCAGTGCTCAGTAATTATGGGGATACAGAAGGGAATTAATCCAGAAAAACCCACTAATAGGATAAAAATCAACATTGTTGTACTGAATCAACTAAGCTAATGTTCAAACTAAAGAATAGTCTTAACAGCTGCAAAGAATAATGTCTCCAGTTAAATTGTGATTTTAAGGTAAAAACAATAACTTATTTTTATTTCTATCTTTAGAATCCCTCATGCTTAATATGGAGCCTGGCAGATAAGCATATTATTGTTTTTCTGAATTAAATTTTATTACCAAAGAATAAACAAGAGATTAAGTTTATTTCTTTCATGTCTATATTCTTTGTTTACTACAAAGAGTTATTTTATGTTCAAAAACTACTTCATAGGCTCAGTGCCTGTGGCTCAAATGGCTAAGGCGCCAGCCACATACACCTAAGGTGGTGGGTGTATCCAGCCTGGGCCCACCAAACAACAATGACGGCTGCAACCAAAAAAAAAAAAATAGCCAGGCGTTGTAGCGGGCGCCTGTGGTCCCAGCTACTCGGGAGGCTGAGGCAGGAGACTCGCTTGAGCCCAGGAATTGGAGGTTGCTATGAGCTGTGATGCCACGGAACTCTACCCAGGGGGAAAGCTTGAGGATCTGTCTCAAAAAAAAAAGAAAACAAAAACTACTTCATCCCATAGGAAAAAAGATATCCCTTGACCTCATTATTGTAGGTAATAAAAGGGATACAAAAAAGAGCAGTATAAAAGAACAAACCTGAGTTCCTTGAAAAAGGATGAACTTCTAAATTTAAAGCCTCTATCACACTACTTTAATTTTTTATTGCACTTATAACAATTAAATGTTATAGTGTTGTGACAGCAAAGAGAATAAAGTAATGAACCATCCTCATTCTCCGATATCTTTGCTTCAAGTGGCTGCCACTGTTGGGATATAAACTTAGACTAAGGAACAGAAAGAACACTATGACTCATATAACTTATTCAATTAAATAATATATTTATGCTTATATTCATATTGCATACAAGACCGATATATGGCTATAAATTATGAAAGCCTGAAATTATAAAGTATTTTTAGGTTGCTCTGAGTGTGTATTAATGAGTGGTCATTAAATCAATAGATTTTATGTTGACAAGTCTATCTTTAACTTAGGGGATTTTAAACTAAGAGTTGCTAAAAGAGCTGCTCAATCTACATTGAGGACGGATGTGAATATCTATATCAACAAAGGCATAATTACACATATACTAATTTAATATATTAATATAATTTAAATAAACCAAGTTGCTAAGAGTTAAAAGATTATTAATACAAATTCAGCTTTTTTCATAACATATCAACATGCCTATTTTAAAATTAGAATAAAAGTTCCTAACTTGTATGAACAGTTGTTTTAATAAACTCTGCTATTTCATTTGATTACATAGTATTTAGCTACAATTAATGAATATCAATTGTTGATTGCAAATAATTACAAAGGAATAGCTTCATATTTTAATAAACTGAACTCTTCTCTGGGTTAGGACTGACAACTTCTTCCAGTAATATAACGTTCTCTAAAAGTGTTAACATAGTAAACAAAACGAAAAACCAAAGAACATGAGGTGTGAGATTTAGTTAGACAGAATAGTAAGACTATGGAGGAAAAAGGGGCAAATTTAAGTTTTGTGACTGAAGTTTCTTAGATTTATCAATCTGTTGTATTGATTATTGACTACTGGTATGGAATGAACTTTCTTTGCAACATGTTGGTGACTTTCTTACCTAGAGAGCATGCCCAGAGGTGTAACATTAAGTGATCCCATCAGCATTGCCAGGGCCATCCCTGGTGCTTCCCGTTCTATTACTTCTTTTGTGGCCTGTAATTAAAGATTAAATAGCAGACTGAGTGAAATTAGCCAAAAAAGAAGAAAGTCAGAATAGTAAAATCTACTTAAAAATAATTATATGCAAGGCTTTCTATAAACTATACTTTTTAGTTTCCCAAACGTTTCTCTTTTTTAAGTCATCCACACTCAATTTTTTAGGACCACTGAATAAAAGCTGAGGACAAAGAAAATTCAGAGCAGTTTTATATTAGTAGTCCTTTCTTATTTCTTACACTCAGAAGTACTTGATAGAAATATTATCTCACCTAATAACCTAAATCCCAAAATCAAGCCTCAGTTACTATAACAGCAGAATAACTTTTTGAAAGGGTAAAAAACCTGTTTTGTTTTTACCTATCACTTTTGAGATAACTAATACCTAAAAACCTGGGATAATCTGTCTCCTACATCTATGATTAAAAGGAATTCAACAAGTCATCAAGTCAACTTTCCCCATGTACAGGCTAAAAGAAAAAGTCTACATTTTTCATCTTTTATTCTTCAAAATAGATTAACTACCTGATTTTTTAAAAAGGACTAATGAAGGTGGCACCCGTAGCTCAGGGGGTAAGGTGCCAGCCACATATACCAAGGCTGGTGGGTTTGAACCCGGCCCGGGCCAGCTAAAGCAACAATGACAACTGCAACAACAAAAAAAAGCCAGGTGTTATGGTAGACACCTGTAGTCCCAGCTACTTGGAAGCTGAGGCAAGAGAATCGTTTAAGCCCAAGAGTTTGAGGTTGCTGTGAGCTGTGATACTATAGCACTCTACGGAGGGCAACAAAGTGAGACTCTGTCTCAAAAAAAAAAAAACAAAAACAGACTACTGAAATAATAGACTTTAAATATATGCTAGAAGTTTTAAGATAGGGCATTCATAAGACAAGTACAGTTAATCCTGGAATAAGCTAATGAAAGAGATAGGAAAATTTCATTTTCTAAGTGTCAATCAAAATCGGTATGTATTTTACCACAAACTCTGGGCAAAAGTTTTGTTCTATAGCTGTGTGTTGTGGCGGGCACCTGTACCCCCAGCTGCTTGGGAGACTAAGGCAAGAGAA